GTGCATCTCCTCCAGCCAGGCCTGTGGGGCAGCGGGGCTGTGTTGGGGTGAGTGGTACCCCCGTCCCTTCCCTCTCAGCCCTCACCCTCCCCATGAGGATGGGGAAAGCAATCTTTTTTTGGCATGGGAACCATTCCAGCATCACAGCCAAACAGTCCTGAAAACGCCTCGTCTCCTGGCTACGGCCCAAGCCTATACGTAGTTCACATCCATCCCAAACCGCGTTTTCTCCCTCCAGCCATTTACCGTGTCCCTGAACAAAACTCACCCAGCCGTGCAGCACCCAGCCAGGCGCCCCGGGGACGAGCTCCCAGCCGGCTGGGTCTGGCTGAAACAGCCAGCGCTTACGTGTAAAACAGGCTTCAAACTGCCCCAAACACCCAACAAGCCACCCAGGGCACCCACGACCCCGATCCCCGGGGGGAAACACGCTCGCGACCCTCAGAGGGGACTCACGCGGATGTTGTCGAAGGACATCTTGCTGGTGATATCGTAGAGCAGGAGCAGGGCTGGAAGGGAAGAGGCAGAGGCATTGCCTCGCTGCAGGGATGCGCTCCAGCCGGTCTCCCCTGTCCCTGCCGGACCCCAAACCCACCTTGGGCATCCCTGTAGTAGGCGTGGGTGACGCTGCGGAAACGCTCCTGTCCCGCCGTGTCCCAGATCTGCCGAGAAGCCGCCCCGGTGAGAGCGGGGAGAGGAATCGCCCCAGTTGGGATGCCCCTGCGGCTCCCGGCCCTGCCGGACCACCGCGCTCAGCCTGGGGTGGGTGTCCCGGCAATCTGGCTGGGAATTGCTTACCCCCTCCCAAAGCTCACCTGCAACTTCACCTTCACACCATCCACAGCCACCACTTTGTTCTGCAGGAGAGAAGGAGAGCGTGTTCATCAGCCCAAAGCGTGCCTTGGCGTGGGTGCTGGCCAGCCCCGGCGTGGAGCTGGCCGTGCCCCAGCCCCTTGGCTGCTCTCCCCCGGTCAGCAGGATGAAGCCAGGCTGCCCATGGGGCTGGACTTTGAAGCCCCATTGCTACAAGCCCTGGTCCTGCTGGGGGGCTGCGATGCTGCGTGGTGGCTACAGGGACGTCCCAAAGCAGCATCCCCTCATGCCAGGGTGGAAGAGAGCAGAATCAGGCCCCGACAGAGACAGGCCAGCAAGATCCCAGGCTGCTGTGGATCTGGTGCCTCGCTCATCTCCTACAGCCAGTGCCCCTGTCCCGTGGCTCCCGAGTCCCCTAACGAGCCGGCTAACGATGCAGGCTTCCTCGCAAAGCCCGGGGACGCTGACCCGCGTGGCCAGGGCAGGTTCGGTAGAGCTGGGGAAGTGGGGAGGTCTTGCATGAACTACATGCAAACGTGCATTTATTAATAACATCTTGGCCTGCTTTTATAATGTTTGCCCAGCATAAAGCTCTGACCTTTCCAGGTCCTTGCCAGGATTCTTCTGCTCCGTGTGCCGAAGGAACCACCGTTGCACTAAAAAATTGGGCTATTCGCAGCAATTTAAGGCCTTCGGAAGCTGCCTGGGGACGCTCCGTGGGTGATGCTGGGTGTCCAGCTTGGGTTCCCTTGCTGGTGGGAACTTTGCTTGGCCCTTAAAGGTGATTGCAAACACGGGGCTGGGGGACCGCAGGTAACACAAAGCTTCATCCAGCACAGCAGGAGGAAATCTCCTGGGTTAGGGTAGTTTGCAGCCAGGCTGCTGGGCTGGGACTGGGGAAGGGAAGAGGCAAATGAGCTGTGAAAACAGTTGCCGGGGCTTAAGCAATCGCTGTACCCAACTCGGAAATGCAGGCACTTCTCTCCAGAGGCCCGAGAAAAGAAACGCAGGGGTTACCAAAGGGTCCTTCTAAGAATCTTAAAGAACTGTACTTGGAAGAATGATTCCGGAAAGAGAAAACCCCTATAAATAATTTGGTTGCTTGGAATTGTTGGAAATGGAAACGCAGCCCATGTGGAGATGGCAAAATTTGAGAAAATAGGCTGAATAAAACGAAAACGTGCCCTA